GCTGGCACTTCTTGGTGGAGACGAGTGGTTTTTTTTTCTTTCCTGGCATCGGACTGTTCTGCCCCAGGTGTAATCTGCTTTATCTAATGTTTCCCTAACAAATGTGCCTCCAGGCTCTTCTCGGGAATGGAGCTCTGTTTGTACAGTCACAAGGAACTGCTCTTCTCTGCCAGAGCAGCTTCCAGTCTGAGAAACTCCTGATGAGGGATGGGAGAAGAGATCTAGCCTGTGCTTGGTTTCTTGGAGGAGACTCAGGAGAGGTGCTGCTCCCTGGTGGTGTTTCAAACGGGTCTCACAGTGTTCGTCCTAGCCAAATTTTAGAGGATTGTATCCCACCTCCAAAATCCCTCTTCAGCTTCAGCTGACTGCAAGGTTGGAGACTTCCTTTGCAGCTCTGAATTGTGCTGTGTTGCTAGTAGCTGTGTTTGTGGGGTGGTTGAAGCCCCCTGTATTAGGTTACGGGGAGGGGAGGTGTGTTACGGATGTCAGTTGTTTGAGCAACTCCACTTGACATTGCAAGCTTGTGTTGCAGACCTGGCATCAGCTGCCTTCCTGTCTTCACCGTCTACGGGCCCCTGTGCTTCAGTCCCAGAACAAAGTGTGCCCCCCAGTCCCTAAATCTCCTTGCCATGTACTGGGTCAGACACTGGGTCCATCTTGCCCAGTCTCCTGTGTCACAAAGGGGCAGAGGCTGAAAGGGAGAATGAACTGGGTCTGACCAGGGTTTTTCCGCTGGTCCTCGCCTACTTGCAGCCTCCAGCATTTAAGGTCCAGATAGCCCTGATTCAGAGGCCATGCCCCTCACTCCTGTGCTTAGTAGCTACTGACGCCCCTTTCCTCCAAGAATGTGTCCAATCCTGTTTTTCAATCTAGTTAAACTCTTGACAGCTAGAAAAGTGCAACAGCAAACTGGAGATATGCTGCTTGTTTTACTGCCACAAATCAAGCTTGTCCACGACTATATGGAGAGCGGACACGTTCCTTTAGCAGCCAGAGTCATGCGGTCGTGCTGTTGCCTGTCAGATCGTTGTGCCTGGCGTTGCAAAACACGTTCATCATTGCCACCAGCGTGAAGTGGAAGGTAAATACATCTGAGAAAATTGCTGTGCTTGGCAAGCGGCTCGCTGACACTGCTGGGTATTTGCATTGCAATGGCTTTGCCATTCGCTGTGGAGCAACTGGCAGTCTTTTAGAAACTTTGCTGTCTTGTACAGGTCTAAAGAGACATAAAGAGACGACAGTGTAGGGCAAGCATGTTTCAGTAATGACAAGCCACCAGCTAGTATATTGGCTGGATGCCTCAGCCTGCTGTATGTTAACCGAAGTAGTCAGTGTAAGAACGGGAATGGCTAGGTTTGCTTTTGTGGCTTTCAGAGTATCGGGGTGCTTAAAGGCAATGAGAGTCTGCCAAGCCTGTTTGTGGCATCTGAACAGCTGCTTGCTTCAGTGAATAAGCCGCCTGCAAGACGAGCTCCTCCTTGATCAGCAGAGGAGTAGCTGTTGCCAGAAGGAGGCCAAGAAGGATCCTGTTCTAGGTGCTGTTCTGTCTTGCCTGCCGGCGCTGACACTCCTGGGAGTGGAGCAAGACCTAGGGCCTGCCCCAGGAAAGGACATCGCCAGCAGGCAAGCTGTGCAAAGCAGAGAGGTGTGCAGGTTGTGTTTTAATTATGGCAAGTTAATTTCATTAGGTTTAATTGAGAGGTCAGTTAATAACCTGCAGATTGTGGCTTTAGCAATGCGGTTTTTTTCTTTTAAGCTCTCTGCTCTGAGTTTGAGATTAACCCTCCCGTTGCCAGTTGGTGGAACTTTACTGGTATTTGAGTCAATCTTTTTATTCTTTAGGTGACAAGGTGCTGTGTCGATTCTGAAGGTCTCATCCAAGGAGGGGGGTCTAGTTGCAGCATGGGGAGGAGTTCCTCCCCCTGGGAAAGCCCAGTGATTTTTGCAGAGTTGAGAGACTCCATTCTTTTTGGGCAAAGTGTTGATGGAGCAGTGCATGTGCAACTTTCTTCTTTGGGAGCCCTCTCTATGATCTGACTCTGTCTCATCTGTCCTTAATTCAGAAAAGAGCTGCTAAAAAGCAGAGTGGCTGGCCTGGCAAAGGGTTAACTTGATGGGTGAGTTGAATCCGTAGGCTATGGTTTGTTGGGATACTCGCAGAGCGGGGCTAGAGATGAAAATCCAGGAGGACTGTTCTCCTTAACACGCACAGAACATGCTGCGTGTCCAGGAGCACGCGCGGGGCTGAGGATTCCTGTTGGCTTCCACATTTACCAAGGCAAATCCAGGAAAACCCTTGTGACAAGACCCTCAGATATGCGGCCTGTAAGCCAGGCGGGTACCACGTTGTCTGTGACCAGCGTGCACTTCTCAGCTGGGCACTCAAGGGTGCTCGGTGGAAATCTGTGCTTTGCACCTTATTGCTGACTAACAATGAGAAATCCTCTCAAGGGGTTAACTGCATTTCCTCCTTAGCCTAGAATATGAAAAACTGCTCCTTTCTACCCTTTTTAAAGATTGGAGTCACTTTTCTAGGACTTAAATTTGGCAGATATAATGGGCTCTTTGTACTTTCCAGCCAGCGGGCTGGAGTCCTGTTACAGAGGTGCAGTGTGTGTTACTGATTAAACTTGTTTAATCTTTGAAGCCCACCGTGGCCAAAAGTTTTGCTTTCACACTGTAACGTCTCTTGGGCAGGGGAAGTCGTCTCACCACCTGTTTGTCCAGTGCCTAGCATAACGAACCCCTTGCCCGTGTGTGTGAGCTATGGAGTGGAGGGGGCAGGAGCAATACAAATGACCTGTGGGCATACAGTAGAAAGTAAAACCCATTTGCAATCCCCCTCCTCTATCCCCCAACTTACCTGGGCCTCGTGTGTAATCATAGGCGAAAGTGCCCAGGTGCTGAGAGATGCAGGGTCTCTGCAAATATTGGGCTGCTCCCTGCCACATTTCTCCTGATGGCTTGAGGATCAAATCTGATTGATTTACTAATGAACTGAGGTTTGTTTCCTAATTGTCAGGCCCTGCCAGCTCATGCTGGACTCTTAAAGAGAAACTGGGTTCCTTCTGCTAATGCATCATTAGGGCTCTTGTTACAAGTCAGCTGATGCACGAGCCGGAGTAGCATGCAGTTCCCCTGTCGAGAGCCGTGCTGTTCTGCAGAAAGAAAACGTGGGGAGAAACATCTTTCCTGCTCTTTTCCTTAAGCCCCGACCCTGCAGAGACCTCCATGGTGCTGAACTGAGGTATGTATGTAGAGTAGGTGGAGCTCTGGTACTGCTGGTGTGTAAGGGGGAGCTCAGGATAAGTCTTTTGCAGAATCAGTGCCTTAGCTTCTGAAGTAAGATGTATCTCTGAACACGTTAACGGAGAAGATCATTGAATTAGCTGATGCCATCCTTATTGCATGCACCTCTGCTAAAACCATCCCAGGCTTACTAATTTCCTTTTCTGTGCAGAAGAGTCTGTCTTGGCTTAAAAATCATTTGGACTAGCTCCCTTCGAGTCACAACTGCTTGCAAACACTGTCACGGGGTAATACTGTGGACACAAGCACGGATGTCGTTGATGCCATTCCTTGCTTGGGGGGAAATGGGGGTTGTTGCTTTGGCCCGCATTGCTGAGGCAGGGCCTGAGATGGTGAAAGGTGCTACCTTCTGCTTGTGGCTTTCACTTTCACTTAAACGCACTCTTCTCTGATGGAGTCTTTAGGGAAATGGAATGAGGAGGAGACCAGCAGCTGCTACGGGCAGTTGGAAAATCAATAGAGTATTTTACAAAGTGACACTGGTTTAATAACATCATCCCTTGTGAGGTACGCTGTCTTGTTCTCTTAGTCCTGTGATCTTTATGACTCCGAGAGTTTCCATCTGATGTGGCCACGCTGTATCCTGTCTCTCTCTGCAGGCTTTTCAGTGCATACATTGCTGTTGTTCGTTGTTCAGGTCTGCTTTGGAGTGTTAAGTCTCTTCTTTCTTTACCACTTGAATTGTTACCCTCTGAGTGTCCTGCTCTGAACATCTGGGGAGTGGTGAATGTGAGCTCTTGCAAACAAGGGCAGCGTCTGGCATTCAAGACGCTGTTGCCCGTTCGCTCGCCTTCAGAGCCAGCGTGTGGGTTGTGCATGGCTCTGGGATCTTCATCACATCGGTTGTGCATGAACGCATATGGAGAGGATTTGTCTCTTGGATTACATGAATATCGCCCCAATGACAGGGGGGATCTGGGAAGAGAAGACTAGCACTGATTTATGGCAGCGATGTGATAAAATAGGTCAGCAGGAGTGGAAAGCACTGACAAGCACATGGATATCTGGGGAAGTCTTAAATGATGTACCGGCCTTCCAGAAATGTTCCCGGGTAGGCTGGCTGTTGTGCCTCAGTTTCCACACCTGTGGAGTAAGGACTGATGGGGGGAATTTGCTTGAGAACAAGGCTGAGGAAAGCAAGCTCCCAGAATCACTGGTCCTTATTTCCCCCCTTCCCCTCCCCTTTTCCCAAAACATGGGATGTTTTCGGGTCCCGAGATCTCGCGTCGTTCTGGCATTTGAGCTGTAACACCGAGGGACGCTCTGACCTCGGCAGCTGTTTTATTCACAAATGGTTTGATGTAATCTGCTGCTTGGGGAAAAGCTCCTGAGTCTCTTACAACTTTTACCGAAATATTTTGAAAGGAACTGATTTTCTCTGTCAGCGGGGGATCAGAAATAGGCAAACCTGAGGAGCTAAACGGATGGGGGCAGGTCAGGGGCCGCAGCCGCCGCTCATTGCATTTGATGTCCTTTTCCCCTGCGACTGTAACACGGTAGTGAAGAGTGGGGTGACCCTTTCCAGAGACTGCTGAGAGCATGTGTCCCAGCGAGAAACCTCCAGACACCCATTGCCAGCAGCAGCTCAGCCATGCTTGAAATGTATGGCTAAAAGGAACCTGCCGTGACTTACCGTGCTGTGATCTCACATCATTGGCATCATCAAAATAGTCTCTGTGGCAGAGATGAGGCATCGGCTGTTTATTTTAGGAAGCTGATGGATCCGGTTGCTTATGCCACCCTCCTCGAAGGGATTGCTGGGACTAGTTTTCTTCCCCTACCCAGCAGTACAAGCCCTGTGTGCCTTGTCCTGGGGCACCTGGAGGTTGAACATGCAGCCGGGACCCTTCCCCACAAGCAGTGGGAGAGGGCAAAGTCGCATTTAATTCCTAGCTCCTGAAAATTATGTGCATTTTAATCTTGCCCTGGAGAGCTGGGGTGTTAGAAAACCATAGTCACAGCAAAGAAACGTGCCAGGAGGGAAGGAATCGACTATTTTTAAGCCTCCCTGCCAGGGGTGATATAATTTGCTGCTAAAATCCCTGTGGGCAGAAATGGAATGGAAACAGATTGAGGATGGTCCTAAACGGTACAGATTTCAGATTGCAAGGGAGGGGGCTGGGGGGGAGGAGGAAACCAGTTTAGAAACCCCCATTTTGAAGTCTGGCGGGACCCCTTTTAGGGTCTCAGACTGGTTGAGATCCCACTGTGTCTGTCTGAGAGCCCGTCCTTGGGGCCAGCGGCATTCGTGGCAATCTTAATTGCAAAACAGCTCGGTACGTGACTTTAGGAAGTTTCCTTGCTGATGCTGCTTTTTCTCCTATTTAAACTATGAAGCTGAGAACATTGAGTTATTGCTGTGTAAGATCCAGGATCTCTGCAGCATCCTGGACCCGAGTTCTCTCCCAGGTCCAAAGCATACCCATGAAGGCACAGGAAAGGGTAAAACCACTTCCAGGAATAGTAAGCCATGTGCTTGCACTAGTAGGGAACTGCCCCGTAGACAGAGCCTCTGCAGTTGGCTGCCACGGGGGAGAGCTGCTGTGCTGGAGGCCTTGGCACACACGGCCTCGAAGCAGGTCTGCCTGTGAGAAGGGGCCTGCGGTGCAGGTTGTGCTGTGCTCCAGGGCAAGCACGAGCAGTACCTGGAGGTTTGCTCCTGGCTCTTGCTTAACTGCTGCTTTGTTTTGTGTTCAATTTAGGAGCTATAACTCTTCCGCCTAGCAAGCACGCCTGGTATGGGTAATGGTGTGAAGGAAGGGCGAGTGGGTCTCAAACAGGACAATGTGGAGCCGATCGTGGCCGCCCGTCTCCTACCTGAGGTAAAGGGGGGGGGGGGGTGTTGCAGTGGATTTGTGGGCAGCTAGCTTCTCTGCAAAGGAAACCTGAGTGTCAGCAGGCCTGGGCACCCAGCAGGAGCTGCAGCAAACGTGCTATTATTGCACCCTTCCAGTATAAGCACCTGTGAAGCTGCTGTTAGCAGAAAGGTTGAAGACAGCCTAGGCATGAAGGTGGGGGCAGCTGGTGGGATCCTAATGACAAAGATAACGTGCAAGCCTGAGTCACCTCCTGACTGGTGTCAGGAGAATGGGGAGAAGGGATGGTCTCTGGCAGAGTACCTGAATAAATGCAGTTATCACAACGAGCCGGCAGAAGAGGCACAGGTGGGGTGGGAGTTTGCAAATGACAAGTGCACCAGCTGTGTGAAGCTAGCCTGGGGGACTTGTCTGTCTGCCCCCTTCCTGATCCTGGGCTAACTTGCCTCAGTAAGGGACATGAGTGTCCACCTCACTGTGCCTGTAGGATAAGCCAGGCTGGAAGACAGTGGTCTGGACCGTGAAGGAGACAAGCTGGGGATCCAGCGTTTGGCACTTGTGATGCTGCAGCCTTGCCAGCCGCTCAGCCCGGTCGCCTCAAAGAGCTCTCCTCTGCGAATGGCTGCATGCAGCAGAGCCGAGGCAACTGGAACCTGTTCTCCTCCTGACTTGTGTCTTGTGTCTGCCCTTGGTTGCCTGACCCTGTCTGGCCAAAGTGCTTCCTGCAGTTCAGGTAGGGCTTGCAGAGGCTCGGGGCTGCCTTTTGCCTCCCTTCAGCTGAGAAGCGGGGGAGAGCCCGAGCTGATGGACCCTGAGAGTGACTCCTGCCTGCATTGCAGTCATTCTCACTAATGAGATGGGCTGGTCAGGCCATGGCAGAGTGAGCCAAGCAAAGTAAGCAGCAGTCTGTTCCCTGCTCCATGCAAGTCTGAACTGTGCCACTAGATGCTAAGGTGGCCATGACACATCTGGACTTTGCTGACAGCACAGCTCGCTGCCTTCCTAGTGTCGGGTGTCCCAAGCTTTCCCTGGCTCTGCCTGCGTGTTCTGAAGAAAGCTGCCCTTGAACATGAAGCTGGAACGTGTGACAGGAGTACAAATGCTGATAACCCTTCCACTCGTCACCCTCGTGGAACCTCCACACCTCGCCCCAAGGATCCTGAGACCAGTTAATGTGGCTGGGGCATCAGTGGAAGTGCATGTTTAAAAGAACTAAGTGCCAGCTGGGAGTCTGTGGCTCCAGCCTGGCGAGTGCAGGACCCGCTCATCCTGCAAGCATGGAAGGGACAGACCCCACCGGTGTGAAAGGTGCCCGACTTTGTACCCTGCCAGACTCATTTAGTCTTTGCCTTTGGGCTCCAACCTGGAGCTATGTTTCTGCTTGGGAGTCTCTGGCATTTGGGAAGTGGGATTCTATTTTGTGGGGCCTCGGCCTCAGTTTCTGGTCATCCTAAATCCCTGTTGATCAGGGGATTTAATCCAGGGAATTCTAGGCAGCAAAGACCTGCCAGTTGTCCTTGCCCCAGGTTGGGAGAGTATTCCAGTAGGGCCCCAGAGATGGCTTTTTGCCTCCCTGATCTCAGCTGGAAAAGACTCTGGGCATGGCTCTGCTGCGGGGCTCGCTGGGACTCCCACCCAGGCTAGCTGTGGGATTAGATCATGCCCAGTCCTGTAGCTGCCTTCTCATGGTGACAAGCTGCAGTGGAAAAGCCCCTTGCTCCTGTCTGTCTCTAGTTGCAGAAATGGGTGTTGCATCAATGCCAGCAGCTGGATGGGGTCACATACCCATGCTGGCCTCGTGCGTTGGCAGCAGCCAAAACACAGGCTGCCGGCGGAAGTGATGTGCACAGAACGCACAGTGCCTTGATTTAATGGAGTTGGCAGGTTGGGAGCATAGGGTTCAGGAGACCCAGACACATTCTTCCATCGTGCATTGCAAAGCAATTCACAGGCCAAGGCAGGAAATGTAGAGCACACCTCCACAAAGCCTAGCACTGACCCTGGTTACTGTAGCCCCAGGACTGGGGTGGAGGATAGCTTCACCAGGGCAACTTGAGTCTGGCTTGGCCACGTGGGAGCTCAGAGCATGGGCAAAGCTGGCCTGTGTCTGTGCCCCTGAACAAGCTCTGCAGCGAAGTCGTGCCCTTTGCAGACGTGCGCAGTGGTTGCCTGACCTCGCTGAATGCTGATACGTGCTTTGTTGTTCCAGGGGGGTCCAGAGAAGAAGAACGTGCTCAATTCCCTGATGTCCGGTGCCTTGGCTGGTGCCGTGGCCAAAACGGCTGTTGCCCCACTGGACAGGACAAAAATCATGTTTCAAGGTGAGTGCTGCTGCACCCAGGACAGAGCAGAGCCCCCACCTTCCCCTGGGCCCCACTTTCTGCTCTGCAGGGCCATGGCTGGCTTTGGCAGCGAGGGGGCCACAGGGATCAGTGCAAGGCCAGAACCTGCACGAAGCAGAGCAGACTTGGTCTTTCCTTCCTGGTTGGGATCATAGTGCCCGATCCTGAGGCCAGGAAGGGTCAGGTTTAGGAGCTTGGATCTTGCTCCCATTTGACCTCCAATGGAAGAGGAGACCCTTTGGGTCCCAGGGCACAACGAAGGCAGCAGGGGCACATGGGCGTTGTGTGCTCTTCCTGTCTCTGTCTTTGGGGGAAGGTTTTTGAAGTATGTAGTGTGCTAGAGACTGTTGCAAGGCAAACCAAAGGGGTGCATGATGCCATATGGACTGCTTGCATTTCTGTGCCCTGAGAAATGCCCCAAAATGTCAGCGAGGAAGTAGGAAGCACAAAGGGAACAGGGGACACTGGGAAAATCAACTTCTGAGCTGTCCAGCTGCAGAACGGGTGGCAGGGTTGTGCATCTGGCTTGTTACAGATTAGTAGCATCTAGGTTGAGCCAGCTCTGTTTGCTGTTTAAATCAGTCACACTGGGCGCTTTCAGAGGCAATGGAGCAGGGGGAAGAATGTCTGGCTTCGCTTGGCATGGAAGCCAGACCTTTTGGACCCTGTACCCTAAAAGTGACCATCTGACAACACCATCAGCTGTTTTGAATAGCAAATTCTCCCGCCCTCAGTGGGAATTAGGACTTGGTCCAGGGCTCATCATCTGCCAGACTGTGGGTATAGTTCAATAAATCCCTATGCGACAGCAGGAACCACTAGGAAGTACCGTACCCTGAAAGAGGGGGTGGGTGTGATCGGCTAATGCCTTCGACTTCTACGGAAGCAGCAGATTTAAGCTGACCTGGCACTGCAGATGAAGTGAGCTTGAATCCAGTCTGATCCTTGGCAGCAATCCTGTTTGAGGTGATTGGGCTCAATCATTCTCTGCTTAGCAGAGGCCCACATCTGGTGCAGCAGGGGACAGTGGTGCAGGCTGGAGCTGGGGGAGGGGGAGCTAAGAGCTAGCACAGTTGAGGGGAGCTGAGGTCAGGGCTGAGATGCATCTGCAGAGCTGTGCATGGTATTGCACCCGCTCGTGTTGAGTGTTGCAGCTCATGGAAGCTGTTGAGCTGCAGCTGGGAGGGCACAGGTTGTGATGGGTCCTGGTGAGCAGAGGAAGGCAGCAGCAGAAGTGCCCCGAGCCATGTCTGGTAGACAGATGGGGTACGCAGCTAGCTTGTTTGGCGTGCTGAACTGCATGGGAGGTCACTTGTCTGATTACGAGCAGCCACTTGTAACTTCAATATCCCAGGGAGTTCCCTGTCTCTCACCGCCGGGAGGGTTTTGTCCTGGGAGTGGCTTGCTCTCAAGGAAGAGGAAGTGGCTGTGGGCCATGTGGCCTATAAAAGTTATCTTAGAGTGAGTAGCTGGGTGGACCTCGGTGGGCAGGGCAGCAGCACAGTATTTGTTGTACACAGCTCCCAACTGCCGGAGGGGCTTGAGGGAGCAGCAGAAAAAAAATAGGATTGCACAGTACTGTTGTGTAGACAAGAGAGTTACAAACCACAAGGAATTTGAAAGCAGCTGAAGAAGAGGCTGGGTCAAGACCATGCGTCATTAGCAGGGGAGTTCTGCGGGGGGAATTAAACACCAGAGAAATCTCCCTTCCACTCGCTGTGCATGTCCTGTAGCCAGAGGGGAGCTGTCCAAACTTTGAAAGGACACTGGAAAACCAGCGCCCTGATCCGGTAGTGAGCTGTGTGTGGGGAAAGCCTCCCTGTCGCATGGAGTCCGAGGGAGCCCTTGTCCTTTGCAAAATGTGAGCCTAACTCTGTAACTTGTGTGCCGGTGTCTGTTAAACATGCATCACTCTTAACACACAGAACTGGCTTATGCACCCCAGGTCTATTCACCTCCCCAAAGCAACAACCTGCCAGTGCTGGCAGAGGACGGACCTCTGTCTGCTGGGAGGTGGCCTGGAGACTTGGAACTGGGGGAAAGGCCCAGAGAAACAATTTCAGTTATCGCTGGGGCTGGTTTTTTCTGTTTGCTGAGCAGAATGCCCATCTGATCTTTGCCACTGCTGCGTGCAGCAAGTCCCAGCCCTCACCACCACCTCCTTTTTTTTTTTCTAGTGTCTTCAAAAAGATTTTCTGCCAAGGTGAGGCTCCGTGTGCGTCTCCTGGTGACCCGAAGCGTTTGATTAACGGTAGCAATAGTAATAAAAGGGCTCTCTGTTGTATTTAACTGTCCTGCCTGAGTTTTATTGGCAGTGTTTATAGGGGAAGAGCACGGAGGAAAAGCCTTGTAAAGATATTATGAAGGTTATTTATAATACTCCTCTGGGCAGAAGCTATCTTGGGCATGCCTGTGCCCATCCCACTGTTCAGAGGGGTCCCAGTCCTCAACTCATGCCTCTGTCTTGCAGAAGGGTTTTTGAACCCGAAAGCTTGCTTAATAACTATTCTCCAACCATTTGTGTTGGTCTAATAAAAGATATCAAATTCACCCAAGGAACCTTGTCTGCCTCTGTCTTGCAGAGGCACCTAAATAATATGGTGGGAGTTCCTTGGGCTCTGTTGGGTAGGCCCAGTCCCTGATGCCTGTCCTTCCTCCCCCAGCTGACTGGAATTGGTTCAGAGACTGCAAGTGTGACTTTGGGCAGGTGCTTTCCAACAGGCTTGCAAAGTGCTGTGTGTGCCCAGTGTAGCCTGCTAATGTCCATCAACCAAAGTTTGCTTTTTTCCCCCAGTTTGCCCCAAGAATATTGATTGAGGGCTGTGAGCTGCACAGACCTCAGGGCAACCTTGCCTTGAGGGGCTGAGTCCAAAGACCTGCCATCTCCAGCTTTTCTTTTCCTTTTCAGCATGTATTGTAGGAAAAGTGCAGCTGGTTTTTGTGTCCTAAACCGATGCTGTCGTGTTGTGACTCTGGGCACAACTGGGGGAGCAAGGGGAAATGGCTAACATCTTTCCACATCGCTCTGGGGTTGGGCCTAGGGGCACTGTTTTGCTGGGACTTGCTCTCCCCTGTAGAAGATGCTCTAGGTCCTTCTCAGTTGAAATGTTACAGTCATGCAGACCCCTCTCACTTTCCATTGTGTGCAGGAAGCCTACAGGTTCATCTACCGCAGCTACCTCCATGACGGCATCTGGAGCCTGTGGCGCGGGAACTCGGCCACTATGGTTCGGGTCATCCCATACGCTGCCATCCAGTTCTGTACACATGAAGAGTACAAGCAGCTCCTGGGCAGCTACTACGGTTTCCAGGGAAAGTAAGGCCCTGTATGGCTGATCCTGGGCACGGCAGTGCCAGGTGGGGAGAGCTCGAGGTCTGGGGGAGTGGGGATGCCCCACGTGGCTCAGCAGAGAGCACTGCTGCCAGGAGAGCCCAGTAACACACTGAGACAAAGGGCAGGGCTGCGCAGAGCACAAAGGAGTGTCCCTGCTGCCCCCATCCTGGCTTTGGGGCCCTGGATAGACTCCCCCTGTTTCTGGAGGGTGAGTGCGGGGCATGTGGGGCTAGGAGGTTCGTGGGTGCCAGAAGGATGGTGGCAAACCAAGCATCTTTCTGCTGCAAGAGAAGCAACAGGCTGGGGTGCCTGGAGAGCTGCCACCCAGCCCCTGTGCCCCAGCCCAGGTCCTGGCTTCTCCCTACATGGGCAGGTGGCATCTGTCCCTAATGCAGGGTTCCCTGCGCCTCTGACCCTGCCATTGCAGCAGCCTGCAGACTGTCCCTAGTACCAGCCCCAGGGGGATTTGGTGTCGCTGTGGAGGGAGCCTAAGTTAAAAGCAGGGCTGACTCTATGCACACATGAACTGTCCGTTCTCTCCGCTCACTGCAGAGCGCTACCTCCCTTCCCGAGATTCATCGCCGGATCGCTGGCAGGCATGACAGCAGCCATGCTGACTTACCCCCTGGACCTGGTCCGGGCACGGATGGCAGTCACACCAAAGGAGATGTAAGTGCCTCACAAGGACATGTGGCTCGCCTGTGAGAGCTGGTGAGGTCCGAGTATCATCTGATGGAGGCAGTGCAGAGTCACCCCGGGGCTTTGTGCAGATGCTAACCCTCTGCTTCTGTTCCGGGGCAGGTACAGCAACATCATTCACGTCTTCATCCGCATCTCTCAGGAGGAAGGGCTGAAGACCTTGTACAGGGGTTTCACACCCACCATCATTGGTGTGATCCCATATGCTGGCCTCAGCTTCTTCACCTACGAGTCACTGAAGAAACTTCATGCAGGTAAAGGCTGCAGCAGTGCCCTTTGCGTTGGCACAGCTGTCTCCCACCCTTGCAGTGGCAGGATGCTGGCAGTGCCTCATACCCCTGCTTTCCCCGGGGCAGACTAAAGAGTGTGTTTGAGGTCTCAGGCATTGTGCCTGGATTTTTGTTGGAGGTTTTAAGAGCAGGTTTGACAAACATCTGTTCAGGGGTGCTTCAGACAAGCATGGTCCTGCCTGGGACAGGGGGCTGAACTAGACGTGATCTCCTGAGGGCCGTGCCAGCCCGATATTCTGTCAGCCAGAGGCTTGGAGCTGGGTCACAGGAGTCCTGGCTGGGCTTGCAGCTGCTTACACCCTCCGCCTCTCCCCTCCATCCTCAGATCACAGCGGGCGCTCGCAGCCGTATCCCGTGGAGCGGCTCCTGTTTGGGGCCTGTGCGGGCCTGATTGGCCAGTCGGCCTCCTACCCCCTGGACGTGGTGCGTCGGCGCATGCAGACGGCGGGGGTCACAGGGCACACGTACAGCTCCATCCTCCTCACCATGCAGGAGATCATCCGCGAGGAGGGACTGGTCCGCGGCCTGTACAAAGGGTTGAGCATGAACTGGGTCAAAGGTCCCATCGCCGTGGGAATCAGCTTCATGACCTTTGACCTGACACAGATCCTACTCCGGAAGCTGCAGCACCGCATGGACGTCCAGAGGTAGTGTTTCTGTCCCCGAGCACTGGGAGAGGGGGGCTGCAGTGCCTGTGGAGAGGCAGGAAACGCCATCACGTCCCGCTGCTCCCGAGGTCTGACATGATGATTTTCTTGTTGTAACGAGCCTCTGAGTTATGTGGAATTAACCCTTCCCCAGGTGAACACCCCTGCCCCTCCTGGCCTGGGTAGCCTGCCACCTCCTTGTGTTTAACACTTCGATGCTAGGAGCAGAGCCCATCACGCAGACACCAAGCTGAAGGTGGGCTCCTGGCTTGTAGAAGAGGAGGTGCCTCTCCCTGGGTCCTGCCAGCAATCTCTGTCTGGCAAGCAGGCCTTGGCAGTGCCATGCTGTGGGTCTGAGGTGAGTGCCCGGCCGGGCTGACTGGAGCAGTTGCATCTCCTCTGAAACAGATGGGGCTGTGCTGAATGAATGCCTCGTGCACCCACCACCCCTCTTCACTTCCACTTCCGTTGTGGTCTCGTTGTTGCCTGTCAGCCCACATCTGAGCCCGTCTAGAGCCAGCAGAGGCTGCGGCTGGCATGGAAAGAGCTCAGAGCACCAACATGGAGCTCCTGCGCCTGTCCTCACCCGGGGCTGGGATCAAATCAGAATGTGAATTGGAGGCAAAAGCAGGTCATCTCTAAGCCTCCCCCCATGTCCCTAAAGGCAGCATTTCCCAAGGGTTTTAGCAGATCCCAGTATTAGGACTCCAGAGAGGTAAGAGGGGGTGCTGCCTGCACAAAGCACCCCCCCCACCAGTATTATCGGGCCTGCTTTATCAGCACTGCAAGAACAAACATCTTGTAGGGGTGTGCATGCGCATGCATGGTGCAGACCTGTTGCTGTCCTCTGCGGTGGCTGCATGAATGGGATTGACCTAACATTTACCTCCTGCTGCAGAGCCACCCTGCTGTGTGGCCGGGCACTGCCTGGCCCTGGGCAGCCCGGCGGGTTCGCTTGGGCTCTGGCAGTTTTCCCCTGGAGTTCTGTGGGGCCAGCTCGGCCCTGGGGAGTCCTGCGCGGGCTGCTGTGGCCCTGTGCCGGGCTGAGCTGCGAGTGCGAAACCAACCCCAAAGCATGTCTGAACATAGCTGGGGCGAGTGCTCTGCGAAGTGGTGCTTTGAAGGGCTGCTGCACACACTCATACTGGAAAGAGGCCTTTCACCTCTCTCCTCCAGGCCGCTGAGGCCCAAGGGGAGGTCTCTTCTCAGTCTGGCAAGGGTGCTGCTTGTGGGGGAAAGGTGGCGGGGATGAAGTGGGAGGCAGGCAGACTCCAGCAGGAGCCCTGCTGCCCCCAGGCATGATGTTCCGTTCTTGCATTGCTCTGGCTGGCTTAGGTCTCCGTGCTTGCTCCTGGAGCAGGCTCTACTTCCAGTGCCAAATGTTTTCCAGCGTGAGTACATGCGACAGGTGCCTGCCCAGGCCCTGATCCCCTGTGGTGTGGTGGGCCAAGCTGCTAGCTTGCTAGCTTGCTTGTTGGCCTCAATGTTACCTCCACAGCAGCGCACGGGTGAGGTGAGGTCTCAGTGCGGTCTGCCTGTGAGTGTCAGCCGCGGTGACGCCCGTCCCAGTCACTGCCTTGTCTTAGAAGTCAATTGCTGTCACCAGGTGTTTTAAGGGCTGCACAGGCCACGGGTCTGTGGCAGGGGACAGTCTGATGCCTCCCTCCATGCAGGCGAAGCTCCTCTTGTCCCTCTGCAGGGACTTGAGCCATTCCCTGTCCCAGCGGGGACGCTGCCCTTGTCCGTGGTCAGATGAGGCCCTTGGAGGCAGCACCGCACGGTGACAAGAGACGCAGAGGAGCAGCTGGGGCTCTGCAGAGCTGTCTTGGCACGGTCGGGTGGCTGTCGGGTTCATCCGATCCCTCTGGGTTCCTCTCAGGGCCTGCTGTGCTATAGTCGCTGCTCCTGGGAGCGAAGCAGCACTGAGGGGGCGCAGGAGGTGGCTGGGTGGTTGCCCGGTGCTGCCCCTCTTGCCCCTCCACCCCAGGTAGTGCCGTTCTGAAAGGGCCCTGGAGTAGAGGAGCCTGGTGGGACACGGCCTTTGGCTGGGGAACCTGGGGGTGCGTGGGGCGAGGGGAGGGGGCAACTGAGGCCTCCGCACCAAACCTCTGTCTCCCAGGGCGAGCCTGGAGGTGCCTGGCCCCAGGGAGCCTCCTTCCCAGCTGCAGCTGATTCTATCTTAAACTCTAGTTTCAGCCTAAATTTCCCAGACTTTCAGGCCCGTGTTAGCTGAGAAACAGGCCATTTCCTGTTGGTCACAGTAACCTGTGAATGTTTATATCTTCCATTGCTTACACAAGTGTTCTTGGAGAGACCGTGTGTGTGTAAGAATGGATGTGGTGGGGGGGGTGTACTGACACATCCTTGAACTTTTTATCCAGTGCCATTCACTCACTTTCTCCCCTAAATGTCTGCATCCTTTCCTGTCAGAGCCTTGCACACAACACCCCTCGGCTCTGTGCAGCTATCCCCTCACTGGCCGAGGAAGGCGCGGGGAGCTTGATCGTCCAGGAGTTTGGAGGGTCGAATGAAAGAGACCCAGGTAGGAAATACAGGGAGGGGCTGATCCATTGGAGGCAAGCCCCTGGCTCTTGCATATGCCCCAGAGACCTCTTCATGGGCTCTCTGGGAGTGCAGGGCTTGAGCGAGGCAGCTGGCCGCAGGGTAGGGTGGTCAGGCCTGCAGCAATGGCAAGGTAGGTGGCAGGTCTGGGTGCGTGGAGAGCAGGGTGCCCTGGAGCAGCTGGGAGCGAGGGGAGGAAGTGTGGCGAGGCCTGCAGCGAAGGCATGTCTGCTGGTGCCGTGGCGGTCGTTCTTACGAGCGTGGCCATGCAGAGCGGTATAGGCCTGTCGCTTAACTCGGGCAGCTCTCGTCTCGGCTGGGCTGGAGCGCGACCAGGCTGGCACCAGACAGGCGCAGCATCTCCCTGGGAGCAGCGGTTTGAATGAAGTCCGGCACCAGGGAGCAGAGCTGGCAAAGGCAGGGAAGCAACATTGCACTGAGAGCCGGAACTGCCCGCTGTGGTTCCTTCCATCCCACTCGGGGCCCCGAGACAGCGCGTTGTGGCCTGGCCTGGCTGGGGCCAGGGAGGGGAAGTTGTGAATAAAATCAGTCCTGTCCTTGCAGCGTCCAGTTCTCCCTCCCTCCTCCCCGCACCCTGCCGGTGTGGTCTATGCATCGAGCACAAACCCTGTCCAATGCCTTTGGTTCAGATGTGTCCCCGCCACGCGTAGGTGCCCGTGTGCGCGGGCGGACAGATAGCCTTCCTTGGGAGCCGGAGCTCTATTTTGATGCCGTGAAGACACTTTGTTACAGAATGTTTATATCTATTTTATGATTTGTGCCAAGAAAGGATGTATATTTAATAAAAAACAAAACCCGCCTCATTTCCCGTGCTCCTCTGCTGCGCCGTGGCCCCAGGCATGGGCTGGCCTGACGCAGGGGGAGCGGGCCCTGCTCTCGTGGTACCAGGAGTGAGATGCCTCTTCCCAGGGCTCTGGGCTTCCCCTGGCCCAGGGATGAGTGCAGGGAGCTGAGCGCTGCTGGCTGCTCTTGCGAACGGAGGGTTTCACTCGGCCGGGTCCTCTTGCAACCCAGCGGGAAACGCTGCCCTGCAGCCGCTTCTGCCAGCAGCGAGCATCCTGGAAGGGAAGCTGCTGAGGGCTGGGTTTGGAAGGCTCCTTATCAATGGGAGCTTTTATTTGCAAGAAAACAGTGAAACACGTGGGAAGGCCTTAAACTTCTGGCATCTGGGGTGTTCCCTAGCCTGCATCTCTATGGGGTGGGGGCAGGCGGCTGAGCAGTGGATAGTTGCGGGTCCCTGCTTATGCTGGGAAACCTGTGGGGCTCGAGCTGCCCCACTCCCCCTGGGCATCGCCCTCCCAGCAGCCTTGCAAAGGGGGTTTCCAGTGCAGCTGCCCCGGGATAGAAAAGGCTGTGCTGGTTCCTTGGGCCGGAGCAGCCATGGGCTGCTGCTACATGCGCATGGGAACCTGCCCCTGGGGCAGACAGCCCCTGTCCTCCTATGCTCCCGTCTGCACCCCCTCTCATCAGGATGGGGAACTGGGGCATCGACGGTGATGGGGCCAAGCTCGGAGCAGGGCCACGGGGTGACCACCTCACTTGGTGCAGGTGGTTACAGCCCCGGCTGCCTCTCGCTGCGTGTGAAGTTAAACCAGTGGCCACCAGAGGCTGCTGCTGGCTCAGTTTCCAGGGCACAGAAGCACCAGCTTCTCCATGCACAAAGTCAGTGCATGGAGCAGGAGCAGAGACAGGAGCTTGGTTCGCCCCTGGCCGCCTCAGTGCCCAGGCCCTTGCCTCACTGCCCCTGCCTCCTGGGCCTGAGCAGCAGGAGCAGACTCCTCAGCCCCGCCATGAGGATGGGGAGAGGTACAGTGTCACCCCCCCATCCTCACCCCTGCTTCAAGGACACCTCCAGGGGCTCTAGCTCTGTCCCTGCCCTCCTTCCCACTGCAGCCGGCAGCAGCTCCCATGCCAGGGTCGCACTCCTTCCCTACGGCACTTGTGCAGCTGCCTCTAGGGCATGAAACAACTTTGCCAGCAACGCTGCTCTGCTCACAGGGAGGGCACCGCTGCCCCCGTCCCGTGCCCAGCTGAGAACAGGAAGGCATCGGGGTGGGCAGGGGACCACAAAGAAGCAAGACCCAAACCAGCAGCGTGTCGGAGTCACACGTTTATTCAACCCCCAGGTCCCAGTGTGCAGCTGCCGTGGGGGCCAGGCACACACTCCTGAGGGTAGCCTCACAGGGGGAGCAGAGGCAGGAGCCCCCAGCCCCTGTGGGGGCAGTGCTAACAAAAAATGCCATCCAACTGCTGCTGGAGGCAGGGCTGCAGCTCCCAGTCCATGCATTGGGCATCCCCAAGGCAATTTGCAGGCCCGACCCCACACCCTTGCTCCTTGCACGAGCATTTGCACCGGTGCAAGCCAGCATGAAGTGCTCCCAGATCAGATGGGAGGCTATGGCATGGCTGCAGGGCAGGGGAATACCAGGGGCAGAAAGCAATTTGCCTTTTCAGTCCCCAGGCCGTGCAGCTGGTGGGGCTTTGCAGCAAAGCGGAAGGCGGAAGGACGGATGCCCTGAGGCTAAGCAGGCACCACGGTGATAGATGGGTGCGGGCAGCAGAGGCGGCTCAGGCCAGAGGTACTGGGAGACGGCACCAGCCAGCTGTCTCCCCAGGCCCCCCTGAACCACCTGCCCTGCTGCAGCCGGGTTAGGAGGCCGCCAGGTACTGGTGGAAGTAGAGCCCGAAGAGGCTGGTGATAACCTGGCAGGCAGCCACCCACCAGGTGAGGAAGGCAAAGAGGCCGCGGTAAAAGAGCGGGGTGAGGACACTGCCCAGGGCTCCCAGCGCGCCCGTGATCTGCTCCACCGTGGCCTGGACGTTTTCCCCGGCCTCCTCCTCCTCCTCCTCCGGGGGGGCGAGGGACAGGACCGGTGCTGCGTCCACTGCAGGGGAGACGGGCAGGGGCTCGGGGTACAGGCCCCACGAGTAGTTTCCTGCAGGCAGAGGGGACAGGATCATCACTGATGAGCCGGGGGCAGGGTTGGGCTCAGCCCATGCCCTTTGCAACCCTCCCTGGCACCAGCCTGCGTTGCCCGTGCCTCAGCCAGTCCTGGCAAGGGCACGGTCCCTTCTCTGCCCCCTGTACACCTGCCCAGCCCAGTGGGCTGCCCATTCACAGCCCTTGGTCCCATAGGCAGGGCCTCAGCACTGGGCATGTCCTGGACACACGAGCTGGAGCTCACAGCCCCTTCCCTCCAGGGTCAGAGCCACTAGGCAGCAGGCTGAGCCTTAAACTCCCTCCATCCGGGACAGACCAGCAGAAAGAGGTCCTGGATGTTGGTGCAGCCCTGGGGCCTGCTGCAAATGCAGTCTGTGGGCGTCAAACTGAGCCCTGCAGTTCTGGAGCCCCCCCAGTCCGCGGGCCAAACCCCCAGCCTGAGCGAGCGGTGCCCAGGCCACTCCGGCACCAGCCCCTACCTAGAGTCTTGAGGAGCAGAGTGCAGTGCAGCGTGAGGATGATGGGGCCCAGGTACTGCAGGCTCACCACGGTCACGTAGCAGTAGATCCGTGTGATCTGGGGGCAGAGAGCACGTTAGGGCGGAGGGCAGGGCCAACAGGGCACGGCCTAGTAGCTACAGCACAGATGGGATGCGGGGGCCAAGCTCCACTCCCCGCCCTGCATGCTGCATCCAATGCCCAGGGAAGTGCTCCCCTGACAGAAGACGGGGCAGCTGGGCAGTTCCCAACGGGTCCGGAGATGGGCAAGCACGTGGGACCCACCTGTCCAGGCCACGCACCCGCCTGTCCCTGCCCCGTACCTTGCGCTGGATCTCTAGGACAGAGATGCGCCCTGCCTCCCGCTTCATCTGCTCCACCCAGCGCTCAGCCAGGCCGAGGTAGGCTTGCAGATGGTAGCGGGCCATGGCCAGACGCAGCAGGCACAGGCACACGATGGTCCAGAGCCGCACTGAGTTGTAGGCGGTGTCCGACATGCTGGGCGGGAAGACAGGACACTGTCAGCTGGCCGGAAACCACCCCTGGGGGCAGGACCAGCCCTCGAGGGGCACGGCTGAGATGGGGCTGGCTGCACAGGGAGAGGCACAGCAGGCAGGCTCGGGTGGGCACCATTATTGCTTCCAGAGAGGAAGGGACGCTACTGCTGGCAGAGCAGAGACCAAGAGCCTGGACTACTGAGAGCCAGGGCTCAGGGCTGCGGGTGCCGTCACACAGGGAGAACACCTGGACTCCTGGGTTCTGCTTCCTCCGCCACTGGCTGGTGGTGCAACTTGGCAGGGGAGCGGGAGGGTGAAATCACAGAGCCCCGGGACCGCTGGGGCAAGGGCGAGGCCCCCGTGCACAGCCATGATGACGGGCTGGAGCCTGTGCAGCTGGAAGAGACCTGCCCGCGCGGGCACTCACAGCTGGACGGTCTGCTTCCCCATGGGCGCGTGCAGCAGGAAGTCCCGGGAGATGGGCTTGACCCACAAGATGATCACGATCAGCGGTGCCAGGAAGCTGGCGTGCAGCAGGATCCTGCCAGGGGAGGGGAGGGGAGGGGAGGGGAGGGAGGACCAGAACGTCAGAGCCCTGCTTCCCCCGCTTCTGCCCTGTGAGCTCCAAACTTGGCAGAAGCCACCATCCTCCACCCATGCATGCCCATGCCCGGGCATTTCGGGGAAGGGAGGAGGCATTCCAGGGACAAAGCCCATATGGTCAGTGCCACCCAGCCCTACCCCCTGCTCCCAGCTGAAGGCCCCCACCCTCACCCCCTCCAGCAGCATGGCTGAGCGACCCAGTTAAATCTCCCCGCTGCTCTCCGGCGGCCCAGCCCCTCCCGTGCCAGTGGGCTAGTGCTGCTACGTGGCAGCCATCTCTGGGGTGGGGGTAGCGAGGAAGACCCCCCCCACCACACTGCTGCATGCAGAGACCAGGGCAGCAGCCCCCTGCCCACCTCCTCCCAGCCCAGCCAGCCCTGGGCCACGCAACTGAGTCAGGGGTCTGTCCGCTGCCATCTTGAGCGCGTCCAGGTGGGTCTGAGCCAGCCGCAGCCCCGGGAAGGTCAGGCAGGCGCCCAGGAAGGAGCACAGCGCCACCAGCCCCAGCTTGAAGGTCAGCTTGGTGACAGGGATGCTGCGGAGGGAAATGCCCATGGGTCCAAGCCGCCGCCTCCGTGGTGGGACCAGAACGTCGCCCTCTCCCTCCCACCACCGGCTTGGCCAGGCACTTACGTCCACTCCCATCCTTGGTGCTTTAGGAAAACCTCCAGGTTATCGCTGACGTTGTTGAGTCCTGCAGGGAGCAGAGAGGCTGCTGAGCCGGGGGCACCGGGCAACCGACATCGGTGCCACTCAGGGCTGCCCGGGTCGGGCGTGGAGGCTCCAGGCCCAGAGGCATCAGGAGATGCCTGATGATCTGCCCTTGGGCTTCTACGGCTGCAAAGCGGTGCGTTTGGCGCAATAAAAGTCAGCAGCAAAGAAAACACCTGGCACATCCCACTTAGCTATGGGAGCACCTCGGGCACCAGCCAGCACCGCGCCCGGCCCATGCCCCGTCTCCGCAGCAGCTGGGAGCTCTGCCCTGTCCCCCACACGTTTCTGCAGGCCCCGGCCCCTGCTGCCCAATGCAAAAGGAAGGTGCCCAGAGCTCCCGCAGGTCTGGGACGTGCATCCCCTGCCAGCCCGGGGACTCGCTGCCCTGGGGGGACCCCCGCCTGCCCTCCCGTCCGCAGGCCCCAGCCCTGCCCCTGCCGCTCACTGACCCGAGTCCAGGCCGAACTCCAGGTAGTCCTCGCGGACGACCAGCACCACCATGGCGACGAGGAGGAAGAAGAAGGCGAAGGTGAGGCAGACGGAGCGCTCGCCCCCCTCCTCCGACCGGAAGTAATGGCGCATCACCATGAAAAACACCTTGCTGCGCACAGCGGGGTTCAGGAAACTAGCTCCCCTGAGCCCCGACCCCCCAGCACGGCAGCCCGGGGAGACCCAGCACCTGCCCCTGGGACAGGACAAGCTACGGGGCAGGGCGGTTCGGCCGCTGCACCAGCACAGCTCCAGCCTCAGGTCCACCTTGGTGGCAGGTCCGTGCTGCAGGGCTGAGAAGCTGCCACGGGTTAAGGAGACCACCCAGTCCCTCCACCACGGCCCAGAGCCTGGCAGGGAAGGGCTGCGAGTGCCGGACCTGCTGGGTTAGCACGGAGGATACGCAGAGCTGCAAGCACGGGGCCTGGCCAGAGCTGAACTGGTCCCCCTGGGACAGGCCCAGAGCGGGTAGAGGTGCATGGGCATCGCTGCTAGCCGGGACTGCAGGAGCCCATGGGAACGGCCACTCAGGCCTGTCCCCCCCGGGCAGACCCCTCTGCCCTGAGAAGCCCCCAGACTTGGGCCCTCCCAGAGGTCCCCCATTGCCAGCCCCTCCTGGCACAGCGTGCCCAGCCACCCACGTGGGGAGGAGAGGCTCGGGCAGCTGGCCCCCACCGTGCAGAGCTGCTAACGCGAGCCAGGAGACAGGCTGCCGAGGGCGCGGACGTCCTTACAATGGGAACAAACAGCCTGCCGGCCCGGCCCCGCTTTACAGCCGCCTGTAAAAGTGTCCAGGTGCCCTTCCACCCACATAGATTACAGCCCGCCCGCATTAGCACATCATAAAGCATCCACTTCATTAGGCCCGCGCAGCCGGCTCGCAGGGGAAGCCGCTCATTATGCAGCTTTATAACTTGTCAGGGAGCTGTTTATAAGTCCATAAATTAGGCTGTTCAGCCTCAGCCAGCTTCTAATTGAAAAGTGCTGTAGGTTCCTTCCCTCTCCTGGTGGCTGCACCGGCCCCAGCAGCCTGGTCCGCACCAGCCAGGCTGGGACATGCACCCTCCACCATGGTGCTTGGGGCTGGCCAGGTCAGGACACGGCCTTGCAGGGCCTCTGGGAGACTCGCCCCTGCCTCCCCTTCAGCCCTGCGCTGGCCTCTGTTGTGGGGGACCCGAGCCCCCGGTCGGCACCTGCGGATTTGTGCGCGCACGGCCCCGCGGGGCAGGGAGACGCCTCCCTTTCTGCAGAGGCGACTTGTCCGAGGCCACGCTGGGGCATCACAGCCCCGAAGGGAAAGGAACCCACTGGGCCTTGCGCCCCTTCCCTCCCGGGCCTGGCATGCGCTGGGAGAGGCCTCCGGCTGGCCCGGGCTCCACCGCCCAGGCGGGAGGGGAAGGATACACGGAGAAGAAGATGGTGAGCAAGCACCACAGGATGCCGATGTTGACCTCCTTCTGGGGGTCTACGAAGCAGTAGTAGCCCTCGGTGAAGAGGTAGACCAGCGTGGAGTAGACGGCAAAATCCACGAACCACTGGTACTCGAGGAAGTAGCGCAGCACTGGGGGAGGGCATGGAGAGCAAGGACGGTCACCCCCAGCCCGCAGGCACGAAGCGGGCAACCAGCACCCTGCTGTGGGACAGGGGGTGGGAGGCAGGCGCGGGAGGCCAGCAGAGCAGGCTCTCCTTATCGGACTCCTTTGGCAGCTTGGGATTCAGGCCTCCTGGGTGCCGGGCTGGCTCTGGAAAGGGACAGGTGCAGCGGGGCAGGGAAAGTGGGGAGCGAGCCAGGACTCCCGGGTCCTATCCCTGGCCCTGCCACACGGCGCGGGAATTAAGGGGCGCAGGCTCGTCCAGGGGAATTACCAAGAGCGTCCACAGCGGTGATGGGGCTGGTCTCCAGGCGCAGGTCGATGTCCCGGGGCACGGACAGCGGCTTGTCGTCGGAGACCCCGTTCACCCTCCTGTGAGAGAGAGACAGGCTCGAGCTGCGGGGCCAGAGCCCACCGAGCGCTGCGCAAGGCCGGAGCTTGCAGCACAGGGGAACACAACCCCGCTCGGGAGGAGCAGCCTGTCCTCACAGGCAGCTCCAGTGGAGCCCCAATCTGCCCCCCGCACCCACCAGCCACATCCGAGCCCCAACCCCAGACACACGGAGCAGGGCACGGATGCTCGGCGAAACAGTTCACGGAGCCCCAACCCCTGGCATCCACCCGCCACGGGAAGCACGTAGCCGGGAACAGCCAGGCCTGGGAAGGAGAGCTGCTCCCAAGAGGCCATGAAACGCCCCCAGGCTCCCAGGCCAGGCGCGGCTCGGGGCATTCACTCACCTTTCGCGCTTGCCTTTGGGCTTCTGCTTCCCGGCCAGGGCGCACAGCTCCTCCTCCGACGGGTGCTTGTAGCGGCGCAGACTGGAGGGACACACGGGCAGCGTCAGACGGGGCAGGCGCGACAGGCCTGAGAAATGGCTGGGAAGGAAGGGGCCTGGCGGGGTCTGAGCACCAGCGAGCGGGCATTTGGGGAAGGGGCTGTGGTACGCGGATAGGGCTGCCCGGACCTCAGGATGGCACGGCAGGGGCCGCGGGTCAGGCGCCAGGGCCACGGGCAGAGCTGCGGGACCAGCGCTCGAGGACAGGAGGCAAGAGCTGGAGCCGCTGGAAGGGCCGTGAGCGGTACCTGCCGTTGCAGAGCAGCCCCCCAGCGCGGCGCACCCACCCCGGGGCCACCGGCAGCGCGGCCGCACCCCGGCGAGGGGCTCCGTGCCAGCCGCCTGCCCACGTGCACCGCCCACCCTGTGCCACCCCCACGTGCAACCCACTTGCACACCCGATCCACGTGCACCGTCCACCCTGTGCCACCCCATGTGCAACCCACGTGCACACCCAATCCACGTGCGCCGCCCACCCTGTGCCACCCCCACGTGTACCCATGTGCACCGCCCCCAACCCATGTGCACAGACCCACGTGCCTTGCCCACGTGCGTCACCCCCACGGGCACCGACCCACGTGCCCTGCCCTCCACCCACGTGCACGGACCACCCCACGTGGGCGCCCCCCCGCGCACCAGGGCGGCCCAACACGGGTCCCGACCCCAGGCCCGCCGGCCCCACATCCACGCGCGCCCGGGACTCACCATCGCGGGGGTCGGCGCAAAGACAGCTGTCGGAAGCCCGTCCCGAGCAGGCCCCGCCTCCCCAGCCAATCGCGGGCCGCGGCGCTCTTGACGCCCACCTCCTCAGCCAATAGCAGAGCGGCGTGGGAGGAGGAGGTGGAGGAAAGCGCCCGCCTTGCTTCCGGGCGCCGGCGCGCGGCATGCTGGGAGTCGTAGTTCCCCTCTCCGCCCGCCCACGTGCCGCTGCCCCGGGCCTGCACGACGCCCGTGGCCCGCACCCCTGGGCCGGGCCCCCACGGCTGGCACGGCCCAGCCTGGCACCGCCAAGCGGCCGGTGGATGGGGCAGGTATCGGGGTGGATGCACACAACCCCGATGGCCATTGCGCACATCACAGCCCACCCAAGCACGTCCATGCACACCTGCACACACCCCGGGACACTTCCACCTTCTCTGCAGTGAGCACGCGCAGGTGCCCATTGCCTGCGTGCAGCGCAGCCCCACAAGAGCGGTCTCTGGCTGCACGCCGGGTCCCCCAGAGCTCCTGGCCTGGGTGCACCAGCCCCGCCTTTCCCACCGCTCCCCTGGAGAGAAAATGAACGGGGAGCCCCCGAGGCTCCGCTCCCCGTCTCCCCACAGCCCATCGCCCACGCTGCTCGACGCTCAGGGGACAAGCGTGTACCCCACACCGGGACGCTGAGGCGGGTAACGGGGTGCAGAGCCTCCTGCCTCCCAGGCCAGCGGGGCCGGCTCCCTGCTGTCATGAGCTCGTTGGGGCTCAGCCTTGCTGCGCACACGGAGCAAGGTTCCCGTAACGGCCCGAGCACCGGCAGGGCCACACGCGGCGGTGCGGTACCTAGAAGCGGGCTCGAGGCTCCATTGCCATTTACACGGGGCGAAGTGGGTGTGGAGCACCAGTGGTTTGGAGCCGTGGGGCGTGGGGAGTGAGGAAACAGTGAGATTTGGGCCCGGAGATGTCCAGCCTTCCTCCCGCGCCAACAGGCATGAACCCCCTCGTTGGCCTGGGGGCGCACGGCAGCTCACCGTCTGCCCCCCTGCCTGGCTGGGGGGCTGTGCCAGCGTGTCCCCCCTGCCTGGGGCTCCGGGCCATTCCCTGGGGCGAGGCAGCCCCCCGTCATGTTTTAAATATGTGATGTCTGGGATGTTTTATGCCCCTTTGTGGTGTTACCGTGAGACGGCGGTGACAGCATCTCAGCAGATCGCTACAGTCTCGCCGTGCCACGTCCTTTCGCCCAAGTCTTCCTCGCAAGATAAATTGGTTCCCGTCTGGGATTTATCCTCCCCGTTACAGCCTGGCAGCACCATGTCTCCGAGGAGGAGGAGGAGCAGGGACGAGGCTGCAGGAGGACAGGGGAGCAGAGCACCCGGCTGAGCCCTCGGCTCCAGGAGGTTCACCACAAACCCACCCCCCGCCGCCCGTGGAGGGTCCTGCACAGGCAGCTCTCCACGCACAGGACTTCCTCCGGGCACCTGAGAAAGGCTGGGTTGGTGCTTCAGGTGCGGGACACCTGGGTCCACTCGGACCAGCGGGTGCCTGCAGCCTTCAGACAGGAGGAGGGCTTGCCGGGACGGGGCCAGTCTGCACCCTTCAGTGCACGTTGGGGTTATTGCCTTTGTCCACCCAGGGCTATCTCAGCCCCTTGGCAAAGTCCCAGGAACCAGCTCATCTCTCTCTTTGGGCGACCTTGCCTGCAGATGCACACACACCTTCTGCATGGGGGGCAGCCCCACAGGGCAGAGGCCCAGCCCAGGGCTCAGCGCAGGGCCCAGCGCCTCCCCAGCTATGATACCAGAGCGGGGCTGGAGTCCAAGGCCCCTGTGGGGTGCAGGGGGCTGGGGGCAGCCCATGGAAAGCCGGCGTGACCGGCTCCGCAGGGTGCCCAGCCCTCACGAGTTTATCACGAGTCTTTCCCCAGCGTCCCACTTCTGGGTGTTAGACGAGACTCCCGGGCTTTGCAGCGCAGCCCGTTCCCGTCCTTCTGAGCGCGGAGGAAAGCTCGGCTTTGGCTCCCCAAACACCTGCAGGAGCAGAGGGCAGAGCTCCAGGAGCCGGGGCCTGCCTTAGGCTGCGGGGACGGCCCCGGGATGCTGCATGGGCACGGCCAGGCTCTTGCCATCGCTCGCGGGGGTGCAGGGAGGCGACGTGGTGGTTATTCGGGCGAGTGCCCCATAGGCTGGCGGCAGGGTTGTCATGGATATACCTCCACGACGAGATGCTCCTTCTCCACTGGGTGTCGCTTCAAACCTTCCCTCCAGCCGGGCGGGACGTGCCAAGGCTGGGATGAGTGGAGCCTGGGCCGGGCAGGGGGATGCAGGAGCTGTCCAGGGGCTGGGCAGCCTGCGAGCGCTCCTGGACCGTTCCCCCTGCCTCTCGGGCTCCTTTGCTTCCCAGGTGCTGCAGAGCAGTCCAGGTGGAGGCCACCACGCAGGGCCCTGGGTGCAGCTGGGCCCAGCACGCTGCCCGCCCTGCTGCATCCTTACCTAGGTGGAACGGGCGCGGCAGAGGGCACCAAACGCACCAGACACACGCAGGCCTCGCCGTCTCCCTGCTGCCGAGGGAAATAGGCCCCTCCCGGGACATGGAGGCACCCCTCGGGTCTTGCTGCAACGGAGTAAGAGCAGCGAGGGCCAGCAGCGTGAGGGTCAAACCTCCAGACCTCTCCCAAAGCCTTTGGCCGTGGCCGTCAGGACCCGGCAGCGCAGTCCTGGGTGCGGGGAGCTCGCTGCCCTGGCATCACATGTGCAGCACATCTGCCTGCCGTCATGTCCAGCTGCTGTGCAGGCCGTGTCCCAGTGGGGTGCAGATGAGGAGGGAGGGGAGCCCGCTTCACGCGCTGCTCCGAGGGGGACAGGAGCCTCGCCGAGCGGCTGGAGGACGGGGCCGTTTAGGAACCGCCCGCGTGTTAGGAGCCCACCCTGCACAGGCCCTGCCATGCGGGGTATCCCCTACCATCGCTCCTGCCCGCCCACGGCCACCCTCCGTCCCTTTCCGTGGCTTGAGTCGGATCCGTGTCCAGATCATTAAATAACAACCAAGATGCCTGCTGCGGCCCCGGGACGTCTCAGCACCGAGGGCACAATCGGTGCAGTGGGAACCTGGCCGGGCACCTGCAAAGCCCTGCTCCTGCCCTGCCCTGCCCAGGATGCTACCCCCACCCCCACCCCCCCCAATCCCAGGGGCAGGAGGTCACCAGTGTGGACTATGTTGGGCCAAAGGGGCACTGCTGCTGTCAAGGCCTTGGTCAGACCCTTGCTGGTGCCCAGCGCAGAAGGTGCCTTGCTTTTAATGGCATAGGACACAGCATTGCACCAGCTCAGGATCAGGGCCCATTGACTTAAGGGTAGCATCTACATTTGGTAGCTGGGAGCAGCACTGCCGGAGCTGGGACAAGCCGGCTGCCACGGCTCAGAGTGGTACCTGCACGCTCTGGCTTCCCGTGCCCATCGCTGCTGGGGGAGCCCTGGGGCCAGCCACGCTGGTGCCACGGTTTCCATGCACTGGCATCAGCTGCAGCCTCAGGGCTCCCAGCACAGGACAGAGGATGGGTTTTAACCTGCCTGGCTCTGTGCACCATCGTCGTCCCCGATGCCAACCCGAGGGTTGGCGCAAGGCACCGAACGGCACCTTCTCGCTTCTCTTCTCCATGCCAGGGCCCCTCCACGGCCTGCGTTGCACAGTGAACTTACACGGAGCTGCTGTTTCGGTAGCCCCGACCCCCTGCCGTGTGCATCCAGCGCCGGGGCCCAGGTTCCTGCACCTCGCAGGAGACCTCCCTACAACCTGGCGGCAGGAGGAAGCTCTTGGCACATCCATGTTGTGGGCCCCGAGGCACTGCCTGCTCCCGAGCGGAGGGGCTGGGGTGGAAGAGCTCAGCCTGCCCACAGCATGTGCTGGGAAGACCCCCAGAGACTTCCCAATGCCCCTCCACAAAGGGCTCGAGCCGTCCAGGCACCCAGCCGGCCCTACACGCATGGACCTGCCCCAGCCGGACGCCTGGCCAGGGCTTTGCCTGGATTGGGGACACCCGTGGTGAAGACACAAGACGTTCACACCCAGGAGGTCATCACGCGGCGTCTCCTGGCTCTCTCCGGCCCTGGCTAGCTGGGCCAGTCCCCCCAGCACCAGCGGCCGGTGGCTGCCATCGTCCTTCTCACGCGAGGCAGAGCCGGGGGCTGCCGCAGCCCCTTCCCTCCCCGCTCCCTCCCCCCGGCCTTCAGTGGGGCTGCGGCTCTAAGTACACAATATACACAAAAGGTTAGTTGTGTGTCCCTGGAACTAATTCAAGGGCCTTGAGAACCGGCGGCTCCGAGAGATGGATGCGGCCCCCCCGTACCCCGGCTCCCCTCCCCCCACCGCACAAAAGCCCCTTTGAGAGCGGATTGTGCGCGGCCCCCTCCTCCCGCCACGCTCGGGAATTAGCCGCGGCCAAGGGAGTCGCCACAATGGCCCCTTGTCGGCGCCCTCGTAACTTATCCAGCCCCCGAGGGGGTCCCCGTCCCCGAGGGCGCGTGCGGCCAGGTGTCCGCGCCGGGGCCCGTCTGTGCCCGCCTGGTGTGGAGGGCACTGGCGTGGCCGTTTTGGGTAACCCTCAGCTCCTGCCTTTGACCTCCAAGCCCGGGGCACGGCCGGGAGCTCCCTGGGGCGAGTGCAACACGAGCAGCCCCGTGATCCCAAAGGCGTCGCATTCCCCTGGGCTCCCTGCCAAGAGGAGGTTCACGTGTCACCCGTGCACCCAGGCCCTCACGGGGACCAGACGGAGGAGGCACTGAGCCTCTTGCCCCCGCTGCAGGGCCAGAGACCCCCCAGGTAGCGGTGCCATGCTTGGACGGACGTGTCTAGCGCGCCCAGGGCTCGGTGCCTCTCCAGCCAGCATCCCCGGGGGCAGCCGCAGCAGAGGTACCAAGGACCCTGCACCCCGCAGGGGAGCCAGCCTGGGTTGGTGGGGCAGGAGCACCTGGTTGGCTCTGCCACGGCCCTTTGCAGGGGCATCCCGGGCTGCCCGCCCCTCTCCCCTCCTGCACCCGGCTCCGTCCCCAAGCCCCTGCACCTGGCGGGCTGAGCCAGCCTGTCCCCCTGGCCCATTCACCCAAAATAAGTTTCCCATTTTGCACAAAGGCCGGTCGGGGCTGCGCCTGGCATTGTTCCGCGCTGCATTACATTACCCAGGGCTCCCGAAGAAATCGCTTGTGTTTCACGCTCCGTCGAGCAGCTGGCCGTATATATTTTCTGTGTTGCACTTTTAGCATGACAAAGGGAGAGGGCCTGTGAACTCCTTGCTCTTCAGACCTCTCCAACATGTCCCCTGAATGGAACCCCCCTCGGTTAGCATAACAAACTGACACGCTCCGCCAAAGCCATGCT